GTGATCATTGCACAACATATACAAATAAAAAATCATGATGTCGCACCCCACATGAATATTATTTGTCAATTATATCTCAATTTTTTAAGAAAGTGACTGGTAATCCACAGAGTAGAGGAAAAGTTTTGTTAAGTCCTATATCTGGTCAGGGTTATTATGTGTTGAATTGTGTCCCCCAAAAAGAATGTTGAAGTCCCAGCCCCTCTAGAATGTGACTTCCTCTGGAACTAGGGTCTTCCCAATGGTAATCAAGTTCCCATGAGGTCATTCAAGTGGGCCCTCATCCTCTATGATTGATGTCCTTTGGGAAAGGAGAAATTTGGACACAGAGGCAGACCCTCACAGAGGGGAGACAAGACGAAGACACTCAGGGAGAAGAGGTCACGTGACTGGAACGTGCATCTACGTGCCAACGAGGAACAGGGACTGGCAGCAAACCCAGGAGCCTGGAAGCAAGTAGGGATCCTCCCCCAGAGCAGCCGGAGCACTCAAGTCTCCGCAGCTGCTTTGAGTGCAGACTTCCCGCTTCTGAGAGCGAGACAACACATTGCTTTGGTTTTAAGCCATCTGATGCTTGGTACTTGGTTACAGCAGTCTTAGAAAACTAGAAAGACCTTAGAAAACTCAGAAAAATGCAAAGACCTCATATCCAGAATACCTAGATTTTTTAAAAAAGAGAGAGAGCTCATAACTCAAGGACAAAAAGAAAATCCAGCACATGAAAATACGTTCAAGGTCACTAGTCAGGAGATGCAAACCCAAACCACAAGGAGATACCGCTTCACACCCACGAGGATGGCTGCAACCAACAAAGACAGAAACCGGTTTCGAGGGCCAGGTGGAGAGACTGGAACCCTTGTGCCCCTCCCCGGCAGGAACGTGGGGTGGGGCCGCCGCTTTGGAAGACTGCGCCCCTTCCACGGAAAGTCCATCGGTTCCTTGAAAAGATGAAAAGCCACTGAATGTTTTCGTCGGCTCAGGCTGCCATAACCAGACACAACAGACTCCATGGCACAAACAACAAAAATGGATTTTTTTCACAGTTCTAGAGGCTAGAACTCCCAGCTCGAGAGGTTTACAGATTCGTACCCTTAGTATTCAGGTAAGGATTCTCTTCCTGACTTACAGACAGCTGTTTCTGGCTGTGTCCTGTCTTGGCCTTCCTTTTACTTAGGCACAGGGAGAACATGGGAGTTCTGGTTTCTCTTCCCTTTCTGGAAGGACGCCAGTCCTCTGGGCTTAGGGCCCCACCCTTATGCTCTCATTAACCTTACTTCCTTAAAGGCCCTGTCTCCAAAGACAATCACACTGGGGTTAGGGCTTCAGCCTACAAATTTAGGGGAGATACAATTCAGTCTATAACTTCATAGGACCTAGCAATTCCACTCCTACGTTTATACTCAAGAAAACTGAAAACATGTTTTTGCAAAACTGTGTACATGACTATTCATAGCAGCATTAGTCAAAATAGCCAAAAAGTAGAAAAATTGCCCATAAACTGATAAAAATATAAACAAAATTGTGGTATGCAATGGAATATTACTCACCCATATAAGGGAATGAGGTGGTGATACACATTACAACATGGACAAACCTTGAAAACATTATGCTGAAGAACAAAAAAAGGCAGACACGAAAGTCCACATAGTGTATAAGTCTGTGTATATAAGATGCCCAGACCAGACAATTCTATAGAGACAGAAAGCAGATTAACGGTTACTAGGTGCTAGAGGGGGTGGGAGGAATGGGGAGTAACTACTATTAGGTTTCTCTTGGGGGTGATGAGAATGTTCTGGAATTAAATAGTGTGGGTTGCATAACTATGTGAATATATGAAAAGGCACTGAATTCTACACTTTATTTTTTTAAATTTTTTTGAATTGTACATTTTAAAATGTAGGTGAAATTTAAGGGTATGTGAATATATCCCCCCCAAAATGATCATGTTTTTGTATAAAAACATATGGATGTGACCAAAGTTATACTCAGAGGAAAATTCATAGGCTTAAAATATGAAAACAAAACTAAGCACTGAACTCACCTAGAAAAAGACTTTGGGAAAATAAGAAGACAGTATTAATAAAGGTAAAACCAAAAAATAAGTGACAAAAATACAGAACACTGAAATTGATAAATTCAAGACCTGATTCTTTATCATAACCTGTAAAATAAACTTCTAACAAGGATAATTAATGAAAAGGAAATATCAAACATATAACATGAAGAAAAAAGAAAAGTTAGCTACAGATACTGAGGAAAGTTTTTTTTTCTTTTTTTTTTTAAAGATTTTATTTATTTATTTGACAAAGAGACACACGAGAGAGGGAACACGAGCAGAGGGAGTGGGAGAGGGAGAAGCAGGCTTCCCGCCAGAGCAGGGAGCCTGGTGTGGGGTTTGATTCCAAGACCTGGGACCATGACCTAGCTGAAGGCCGACACTTAATGACTGAGCCAACCAGGTGCCCCTGAGGAAAGTTTTAAAATGTACATTTCTAAGTTACTGAATAAGAAAAAGTTCATCAAAATATTTGCTACAAGAACACAAACTAACAAAACTAATTCAGAAAGTATGGAAAGGGTTGAGAATATCATCCAGCTTTCCCCAGAGAAGGCGCAGGGCCCCGAAAGTGGTTTTGCACACCTTCAAAGAATGATAATTACGGTATTTAAACTGTTGCAGAACAGAGAAAAAGAAGAAATTTTTCCTGATGCCTTTTCCAAAGCCAGCAAGACTTGACAAAGAATACGATTTTTTTAAAAAGCACTAATCTCTCTTGTAAATGTATGTGAAAAAAAGAGTAAAATATAAGCAAATTAATTCAGCAAAATATTAAAAGAATAATACACTCATATCCAGTAGGGTATAATCTGGGAATGCAAAAAGAGCTCACATGGAAAAATCCATGAATAGAATTCATCATGCCAATAGGTCAAAGGAGAAAAAAACATGAGGTCATCTTGAAAGATGCTTAAGAAGCATTTTATAGGGACGCCTGGGTGGCTCAGTTGGTTGAGCAGCTGCCTTCAGCTCAGGTCATGATCCCAGCGTCCTGGGATCGAGTCCCACATCGGGCTCCTTGCTCGTCAGGGAGCCTGCTTCTCCCTCTGCCTCTGCCTGCCATTCTGTCTGCCTGTGCTTGCTCTCTCTCCCTCTCTCTCTCTGACAAATAAATAAATAAAATCTTAAAAAAAAAAAGATTTAAAAAAAAAAAGAAGCATTTTATAAAATTAACATCCATTCCTGATTTTTTTTTTTTAAAGTTCAGTAAAAAGTGAAAGCATTATATGGCCAAGGATAAAGCACAGTGTTTCTACTTCCTAGCTGGGTGACTTTGGACAATTCACTTGGACAATTCACTGAGGCTCTCAGCCCTCAGTTTCATTATTTGAAAGATGATTATCATTCCATTTAAATGAATGAATGTAGAAAATCATACTGCATAGGGCCAATGCCAAACACAGAGCAGCACTCAATCAGTGGAAGCTTAGTATTTTTATTAGTAAAATGGAAACAGCATCTCCTCAACAGAATTTTTAAATCCATCTATATCAAAAACAGGATTGCTAATATGAAACACCAGATAAAAATCTCATATCACATATATTATATGAAAGGGATTTTATAGTAGATGGTTCTAGATATGGATATAGAGATAGGAAAAAAATGTGGAAGGATATACTCCAAGATATTAATAGTTGTATAGCTCTCGGTAACAGGATTATGGGTGCTTTTTTCTTTTCCTATATTGAATGTTTTTTAATGTAAATGCAATAGCAAATGTTAAGTCACAGTAGAGATAGTAAAAAAAAAAAGAACAAAACTGTTACTCCAGAAAACCAGACAAATTGGAAATCTCTCCCAAAAGGCAGAGAAAATGGATTAAGAGCTAAAAATGATAAAGGGTGTGACAAGATTTGAGAATCAGAAAATAGATGTACAACCTAAGGCTTAGAGAGATTCTTAGAGAGATATTGGAGCTATCAGAAATTCTAGTCAAAGCAATAACAGAAAAAAAAAAGTTCTTTTCCAGGAATAAAAAACTGTGCAGATCAAACGTTTTGCTAGGTACCAGCCAAACTCCATGAAAAGAGATCAATAGTGGTTAAATTTTATTTTCACTAGTAGGTGACAGAATTCTACAAATACACACGCCCAAGCTACTTACACAAGGATAAAAGTTATCCTGGCCTCAGACCTTTCTGCAACACAGCTACCAGAGAAGACAGGGAAGTACAAACCAATCGGGTCTCAGACAGGAAAAGACCCGGAAACCCTACCACTCACTTATCTTTCTTGCAAAGGATACTTGAAGGATTACTTGAAGGTGTTGTACCCCAGCTGGGATTAAAGACAAATGAAAAGTCAGTTTCTGTAAAGGGGAAGGTGTAGCACGAAAGGAGTGTAGGTCTTTATTTCCTCATCTCTATCCCAGACTCAGAAACGTGACTGCTACGGGTTGGCCAGTGACTTCTGGCGTCCCTAGTCTGACCCTGCTGTGTCTCCTTGCTCTCTGCCAAGACCAGGGAAGAGGGTGACCGATGCGGCAGGGATGGAGGCTGGGGGACACACGACAGAACCCCTTTTTCTGAGACAGGACAAGAGGAGGGACGATTCTGCTTTTCCTGCTGAAATTTTTGTAAAGGGCGGGCAAAGATTGCAGGGCTGTCCGCCTGGTTGCCCTGGGAGAGGAGAGGCAGGACGGCTGCGAGCGGGGCGTGGTGCCGGGCTCTCTGCCAGGTCGCGAGCCGGGGCGTCAGCGAGTTCTCGCACACCCTCCCCCGAGGCGCCCGCCACCGCTCGAGTCACCGCGTCCTCAGTCCCTTCCCTTCCCCACCCCCGCCGGGGTCTCCCGGAAGGGCCGGCAGTCGGCTGGGGTCCCCGCGGTCCGGGAGGTTGGCGGGGGACCTCGCCTCCTGGACAGACGCGGGGTGCGCGTTCTAAGCCCGGAGGGCGAGGGCGGCCGGTGCCGGGAGGCTGCGGGGCGGGAGGGCGGCCTTACCCCCGGGCCCCGTGGACACGGTGACCTGCGCGTAGGTGGCTCCCGCGGCGGCAGCAGGGCCCGACACGCCGTTGAGCGCCGCCACGCGCACGGTGTAGCGCGCCCCGGGCCGCAGGTGGAGCAGCGTGGCGGCGCGCTCCCGCAGCCCGGCCTGGCGCGGCACGAAGGCCACCCGCGGCCCGCACGGCTCGCACGCGCCTCCCGGGCCCTCGCGGCCGCAGCGCAGGCACAGCAGCGAGTACGTGACGTCCGAGCGGCCGCCCGAGTCGGCCGGCGGCAGCCAGCGCAGCCTCAGCGCCAGCGGCGAGCGGCTCAGGCTGTACTGCAGGTCCCGCGGCGCCGACGGCGGCCCTGGGGGGACGGGAGGGGGGCAGGGGGAGCTGTCAGCGGGGCGAGCGGGGGGAGGCGGGGCGGGGGGTTGTGAAGGGGGAGGGGCAGGAGGAGACGCGGGGGGAGTGGGGAGGAGGGACCGGGTGGTGTGGGGCCAGTGAGGCGGGAGGGACAGGGAAGGGGGCCGTGGGGGCCAGCGCGCGGAGGAGGGTAGCGAGGGGAAGGGGATGAGGATGCACGACGGAACAGAGTGTGCGGGTAGGGAGTCCCCCTCCTGGTTGGGGCGCAGGGTGAGGTGACGGCGGGAGGGGGGGCGGGGACGAGGGGCAGTCCACTCCAGGACCAGCCAAGAAGCCTGACCTCGGTCTCGGGACCCTCTTCCTGGTTCTTCCAATCCCAGGCCCCGGCCCCATCCCCATCCCAGGGTCCCCTCCCTCCACCCCGCCGTCTGAGTCGCTGGTCCCCAGGCTCCCCAAGCTCTCCAGTGCCAGCCCCCTGCCCTTGGCAACCCCTCCACCAGGCCTTTCCTGATCCGCCCCCCACCGTCCCCCCTGAACGCTTTGGAGGGGGGCACTCACGGGTGCAGGAGGCCGAGGGCGGGTCGGTGGGCGAGCGGGCGTAGCTGTCCTGGCACACGCAGAAGGTGGAGGCGTTTTCCAGGGCCCAGCTGTGCTCTGGGCACGGGGAACAGAGCAGCCGGCGCGAGGACAACTTGTAAAACCCTGGGGGACAGGCTGCGGGGCAAAGCCACGTGAGGAGGGGTGTCCTCCACAGCTCCTCCCTCCCCCACTGTCCTGCCTGCCCCATTAGGGTGAGTTTAGGGCCCGGAACTGTGCGGAGAAAGGGGGTCTCCCCTCTTCCAGCACTGCCCCAAGCGGTAGCAGCTCCGGACCCAACCGCCCAGTACTACCTGACCCTTAATAAGTGCTTACTGTGTGCTCAACACTATTTTACTTTCAGTAGTTCACTGAACCCTCACAACAGCCTGTGAGGCATGTATTTTATCCTCATTTTTAAAATGAGGAAATTAAGGCTCAGAGAGGTTCAGTAGCTTGGCCAATGTCCCACAGCTGGTAAATGGTGGGATTCCAACCCAAGCAGACACCATCCTACCCTAATGCCCACTGGGGAAAGAAAATAAGCCAGACTCTTCCGGTCTTGATGTGAGGCCAGAAGACAGGTGCCTCCGAGGGGTGTGTCACAGCTCCCCAGGGACAGACACCCACAGACTTCTCGTTATGCTCATGCACGCGCACTCACATTGTTGTCGGAGCCCAACTTCCCACCACTACCATTTGGGTTCATCATCACAGATCCTCAACTGACACACTTGGTTGCAGTTTAGAAGTGGAGCCAGACAGATGGAGGGGAGTAGAGGGAGGAGGGTGAAGTTTCCCCAGTTCTAGTCTTGACACCCTCCTCAATGACTTTGCTTCTCTCACTTCTCTGCTTCTCTGGCCTCATCCAGGACACAGGCTGTTGAGAGCACAGGCTTTTGTATCTGGACAACCTGGGTTTGCAGCTGGGCTTTACCCCTTAGTTGCTGGTGGCCTCGGGCAGATCTCTTGACCTCTCTGAGCCTTGCGTAGAATACCCACCTCAACAAGGTTGATGGGGGATTCGCTGAGATGAAGTGTAAGCCGCTTAGCCCAGCACAGACAACACGCTCACAACCATGGTAGTAATTACTGTTCCTCCATCACAGGCCTGAAGTGGAAATTGCTTAACGCCCACTTGAAAACTTTGCTCACCAGCTGGGCCAGGCGGGAGGGAGGCAGTGGCTCCGGGCCCTCCTCTGGGAGTCCCAGTGATTCTCACCTTGATCCCTGCCCCCACCCGCCTGGCCTTCTTTCTAGTTCAGCTGGTTCTGGAAGGCTGGCCCCAAGAAGCCCCAAGAAGACATGGTACAGTAGAAGGGATGCATAGGAGCCCTCAGGAAGAATGTTCGGGCTGTGTGAGGAAGAGGGGAGTGGGCTGGGGGTCTCCATGATCTGGAAGCCTTTAGGCTGGGGAGGCTTGGTCTTGCTTGGGTAGCAGAGCTTTGGGCAGGGTTTCTGAAGCCCCAGGGGCTTTGGAACTATCTGCCTTCAGAACAGAGCAAGGACTCACTAACATTGTGGTCTGGAGGGTGGCAGCAGCCCCCGATGGGACACAGGTGGCCTGGGTTCCCGTGTTGGCTCTGCCACTCCCTATGCCTCTCTGGCCTCAAGAAACCATCAGCCAGGTGGGGGTAAAAACCACGGCCTGCCAGCCTCCTCTGTGAAGTCAGAGCAGGGATCTGTTTGCAGGGTCTCACAGCGGTAGGAAAAAAGGACCAGAGGCTCCTTTTCTCCATGTGTTGGTGGACACTTGGGGTCCTGGAGATGTGTGTCACAGCAGAGACAGCAGTGGTTATCTCTACTTTGACAGGCTCTGCATAGAGGAGGTTCGCTTTGAGGGGCAGGCTCACAAAGCCTCCAGACTGCTGGCCCCATCCTCTCTTCCTTAAGGTCAGAATCAAGTGTCAGAGATCACCTAGCTCCACTCCCCTGACCAGGTCCTCCAGCAGCTTTCCTAGCAGGAGCCACAATCTTTGCTTAGAAATGGGGAGCCCACCTTCTTCTGTGCCCCTGCTGAATGGCACTGGCAGTGAGAAAGGGCTTCCTTGTGCTGAGTCCAAATTGGCCCCTCTGTCTGGAATCCCCCCTCATGCCACCCCATCAAAGGGCATCTGTGTGCCCTGTGGAGACTTAGAGAGCGTGTCTGCTTGGGTCAACTCCCCAGTACCAACCCCCCCACCCATGCCACACTAAACTCTTCTTTTTACACTTCTGACTCTTGTCCTATAAGGTTTTACATTCCTCTCCTTTCTTTCTTTCTTTTTTTCTTTTTACAAATTTTTACATTATTTTTATCTTTTTTTTAAGATTTTATTTATTTAGTTGACAGAGAGAGACACAGCAAGAGAGGGAACACAAGCAGGGGGAAGTGGGAGAGGGAGAAGCAGGCTTCCTGCTGAGCAGGGAGCCCAACATGGCCTCTATCCCAAGACCCTGGGATCATGACCTGAGGCAAAGGCAGACCTTAACGCTTAACGACTGAGCCACCCAGGCGCCTCAACCCCTTCTCTCCTGGCAAACTCTTATGTTTCTCCAGACCCCAGCTCAAAATAATAATACCTCCCTTGTGAAGCACTCCCCAGCATTCTCTGCAGTTCCCTATTCCTCAAGGCAGAGCCGATGCCATTTTAAGTGACTTTTGTCTAGTCTCAGCTTAAGTCAGAAGTGGGACTGGGTTTCTGAGTGTGTGTGTGTGTATGACTGCATGATTGCCCTCAATATGTATCCAAACCCTCTCCTCCAGACCCTGATCCATTCATCGGATGATTTTTTTTTTTTTAAGCACCTACTATGAGCCAGGTGCTCTGGAGCAAGTCCCTGGAGATAGACTGCATAAAACAGACCAGGATCCTACTGCCCGCTGGCCCAGATGCCCTCCTCCCACCTCACAGGGAGAAGAGAGACTGTCAGCTGGGAATTCTCTCAAGGTCTGGCCATCAAACTCACAAACTTCCATCTACACCCACCTTCCTTCTCCTCCTTCCTTCCAGGCCTACACGAAGGGATGGGCCACCTCCCTTTGAAGGCCTCCAGCCTCCCCTCCTCCACTCTGGGTCCTGCCCCTTCTTCGCCTCCCAGACTATATCCCATCAGTCTTACGGCTCCTAATTCTTACATCACAAGGGAGTGCTGCAGTAAGACTGGTCCATTTCGGATGCAGACAGTGAGGGTATTATCTACAGAGTATTAAAAAACAATAAAACTGGGACGCCTGCGTGGCTCAGCCGGTTAAGCGTTTGCCTGCAGCTCAGGTCATGATTCCAGGGTCCTGGGATCAAGCCCTGCATTGGGCTCCCTGCTCAGCGGGAGTCTGCTTTTCCCTCTTCCCCATCCCCTCTCCCCCATGAGTACATTCTCTCTCTCAAATAAATAAATAGAAATATATTTTTTAAAAAAACAATAAAGCTGACTAAAACATGGCCTGATCTTTATTAGCAGCTAGCATCAGCAATTCTAAACCATGTCAGTAATAAAATACATCCCCCCAGGGCAGGCTGCTCCCACCACACCCCACTTGGTACCCCACGGGCTCCTTCCTCAGCAGATAAACAAGGCTCCTATCTACAGCCAAAATCTTCTCTCAATCCGGTTTCCTCTTTAAGATACCACCCCCTCTCCTCGCCTTTCAAATCCAGCCTTCCAGGAGTTTTGCACATTCCCTGACTCTCACTCCACATCTTCCTCCATCCCCCAACCTACTGAGCCTGGTCTGTCTGTCTGTCTGTCTCTCCATTACTCTCTCTCTCTCTCTCCATTGCTCTTGCCTGGGCCACCAAGCAGACACTGTCCAAAGCTCGCCTTACCTGAGTGCTGACTCACACTATAAGCTGTTCCTTCCTGGACCCCTCCATATGCCCGGGGCTGCCATGAGATCATACTTTCCTGGATCTCCTCCAACCTCTGATTCTCCCTCAACGTCCTTTTTTATGGGCTTCCATTCTTCTACGCGCCCTTACGTACTGCTGTTGTGTGAGACTCCATCACTGGCCCTCCTGCTTCCTACCTCACCTTGGTCAGTCCCAGCCACACCCACGGCTTCTAGTGGTACCTATATTTCTGTTGCTGAGGTCCAGACTCACTTTCTAGCTACCTCCCCTTGAACGCACCACAGACATCATAAATTCAGTGTCCATCAGTGTCCCGTGTTCTCTACCCCAGTGAGTGATCCTCTGTCCACTCAGTCCTCTAGAAGCATACAGATCAAAAAGGACTCTTCTCTCCTCCCTCATCACGTGGTCACCAGGGGCTGTGGATGCGTCTCATTTTCCCACCCATCCTCATGTCTCAGTGATCTCTGCCTCAGTTCAGACCTTGTGCTCTTTCTCCTGGACTACTGTACTATCTTTTTCTAGTCTTTAATCCTTCCTTCCCCCAATCATTTCTTTGTAATTGCAACTCAAGTGATCTTTTGAAATATAAATCTGAACATGTCAGATTCCTGCTTTAAATCCTCCACATTGGTCTACGGCATAAAGTCTAAGCTCTTTATTCTAACGTTCAAGGCCCTTCATGATCTATTCCTGCCCCTCTCCAGCCCTATCACCCCTCACACCCCCAAAGGCCCTTTGCTCCTAGCCCCAATCATGCTACATTCTCTCTTGCCTCCATGTTTCTGCAGACAATCTCTTAATTGAGAATGCTTCTAGCTGCCTGGAAGAAAGGCCTTCTCCACACTTAGAATTGGCTTCTCCCTTCTCTAGACTTCCTCAACTCTGTTCATATGTGTCACACTCTATGGTAACCACTCCTTCACCCAATACTTTTTCACTGTGCACCTACCATATCCTGTTATGGACTCTGAGGCTGGCGAGACTGATTCAGTCATTGCCTGAGGTCAGTTCCTAGTCCAGTGGTGGAAACACACATAAGTAGATCACTGTGTACCATGGGGTGAGTGCAGAAATAGAGGTTGCCATCAACTACACTTCAATTAAAAAAAAAAAAAAGCAAGAAATAGAGGTTGCAATGGATGCTGGAGAGCAGAAGTGGATCCTAACCCTAATTAGAGAGCTCAGGAAGGTTCATGCCTCCAAGTCCCTTACTAATCCACAAGTTCTCCCTGAGGAAAGAGATGGTGACAACATCTAAATAAAATAAGCCCTCCTAAATGCATTTGGTAAGTTCTCAGGTCAAAATGAATGGACGATTGAACAAAGGACAGAGGACCTTTAGTCATTTCTTTCTCTGTCTTCCCACCACTGTATTAATCCCTCTGTTAGATCACGTAATACCTTGTTGTGATTTTTCAATTTTTACATTTTCATCTGTAGAGCTGCTGAAGAGTTGAAATTATACCTGACTCATTTCTGTTGTCCTGCCATCCACAAAGGGATGTAGCTTAGAAGAAGCATCCCTTGCTCTTTTTACATTAAGGGCAAGCATCCATACTCCATCCTTACCCTCAGTCCTCAGAGCCAGAGATCAGCGAGAAAAGGAGAGGTCTGGTCCTGGTGCCCTACAGACCTGAGAACCCAACCAAACCTGCACATGACCAGGGTCTCCCTCAGGGGGCACAGTGACTCATAGTTCAGAGAGTTGGGTGGGATCTTAGTGGTCATCTAGTGCAAACTGCTGACCTCTTTCTCTCTCTCCAGCTCAAGAATCCCACTGCCAGCCTCCAATGTGCATATGGTCAGGGAACGGGACCTCACTCTATAATGTAATCAATGCGTCAGCTAGTAGAGGTGGGTTGCTGTATCCTTCTTCCCTATGCCTAAGGGAGGCAGTATGGTATAATAGAAGGAACTTGACAGTTGGGCAAATCTGGATTCAAATTCTGATTCCCCATTTACTAACTTTGCAAATGAGGTGTTAATAATTTTCTGAGCTTCCGTTTCCCCATCTGCAAAACAGGGATACTGGCGACTTACTTTATTGTCGGGAATAAATGAGACGTCCTTTGTGAGGTGCTGATCATAGTGCCTGAAACGCACGCCCCTAATGCCCCCCCATATAGAGTCAAATTTACTTCCTAGTACCTTCATTCAACGGTCCTGGCTGGACTCACTGGAAAGCTCCACAGAAGACCAGGACTCTGGGCTTCATAGCCCACAGCTTTTCCACTCCCCCTCCTGCCTCTTTCAGCCAGCGCACACTCTCTCCCTGTCGCCACCTGCGCGCTCGCTACATTCCCACGCCACATCCCCTCGTCCGCTGAATACCTTCACAGATGTCACCACGTTCCTGGAATCCCGCACTGCAGCTGCAGCGGCCCACGGGCACCAGCCACTCACCATCAGCGCCACAGTGCATGCGCGGGGGGCGGCCGGGCTCCCCTTCTGAGTGCGCCACGCACGTTCCCGTCACCTCCACCAGCGTGGAGAAGGCGCTCTCGGCCGCGGTGGCCGGGAACGCTGCCAGGCCCCGCACCGTGGCGCGGCACTGATTGTAGTAGACGCGCACGGAGACCAGCGCCACGCATGCGCCCACGTCCTGAAAGGCCAGGTGGAAACCCCGCCGGCTGAGCGGACCGATCTCTCGCACTTCTGTGTTCAGCTTCATCTTGCGCTCGCCCAGGTCGCCCTGCGTGAAGCTCTCATCCGCCGCGATTGTATCGATCTTGCGGGGCCGGCTGCCACCTGCTCGGAGACGCCCGCGACCCAGGTCAGCCTCTGTTTCCAGGTAGTAGACGTTGAAAGTCTCCTTGCAGGTGCCGGCGGCGCCCGGGATGCTGCTGCAGTCGCGCAGCGTGAACTGCAGCTCCACGAAGATGCGCTGCCCGCGGCCACGGCTGATCCAGCCAGTTTGCAACCAGTTGTCCTGGTTGGGCTCCAGCACGTTGCACACCTGATATGTGCGGATGGGACGGTCATGCTCGTCCACGCCGCTGATCTCCTCCCACTGGGGAGGAGAACAAAGATGCGGGAAGCTCAGAGACAAGGCGCCCCCAGGAGGTCGAGTCCTGGCAGTGACGAAAGCTGAAAACCCCCTTCCCCATCATCCCTCATTCTCCCTCCCTCCACCTCAGGCCCCTGAAATTATAAGATGCAGAGCTGGGAGAGACGTTGGAGACAACGAAGCACAATCTATAATTTTATATGTGGGGAAACTGAGGCTCCAGAGAGTGAGAGAGAGTGATTTGACTGGATATGAACGTGAGTTAGCCCCAAAGTTGGGAATGGTGCCTGAAGTCTCCTGGCTCTCCACCAGGTGCCCATTCAGTGACCAGGCTGCAGTCACAGAGCCACATCTCCCAACCCCCACGCCTAGTTTCTAACCTTCCTTTAGGATTTTAAATCTTGCTTGTTCTGTCAATCCATCAATCAACAACACTGCTTAGAGGGTCTACTACATGCAAGGTATTGTCCAGCATTGGATCATCTAGATGACACATTTATGTTGCTACAGACTGGTAGTTTACCCCTTGCTATATATTTTTTCCTTTTCTTTTCTTCTTGGACTGACTAAGAACAATGTTTCCTAATAGGCCACTCTGGCATGAAGCCAGTGCTGCTGAAGACCACATGCTCTGAGGAGCATTTTGTGCTGCTGTAACCACAAAGAACCAAAGGATTTGAGTCCCAGACCACCAGAAGATTCCTGGCACAGGGAGAGAAAGTTTACACTTACCCCATTACTTGGCAGTGCAGTCCAGCCCAGCTCAGCCTGGGAAGCTTTGGAATCCAGGAGGATAACTATGGAGAAGGAAGAACAGAGAGGTCAGAAAACCAGAAGGTCAGGAAGGTGGGAGGGACCCTTTTGTGAGTTCACTGTAAATTTGCTGAGGGGACAGAGACAAATTTTTCCTATTCCTTATCTTCCCATGAAGGGGTGGGATGTGAGTTAGCTCAAATCCAGGAAGATGTAGCCATGACTATTGGGGAAGGAACCTGTATTAGTTTCCTGTAGCTGCTGTAACAAATTGTCACAGACTCAGTGGCTTCAAATAACAGTAACTTATTCTTTTACAGTTCTGGAGGTCAGAGGTTGGAAATCAGCTTCACTGGCCTAAAGTCGGGGTGTCAGCAGGACTGGCTCCATCTGTAGGTTCGGAGGGGAAAATCCATTTCCACTAAAATTTTTCAGCCCCCTAGATTCTTTGGCTTGTGGTCCCTTCCTCCATCTTCAAACTGCATCTCTCTAATCTCCTTTAGTGATCAAATTGCCTTCTCCTTTGGGTCTGACTCCTCCTGCATCCTCTTCTAAGGACCATTGTGATTACCTCAGGGCTATCCAAATAATCCAGGATAACCTCTTCATCTCAGGATCCCTACCCATATCTGCAAAGTCTTTTGCCTTTTGGAATAACATTCACAGGTTCTGGGGATTAGGGTGTGGACATATTTGGAGAGTCATTATTCAGCCTGCCACAAAGTTCATGGAAGTACTCTAAGATTGTCTCTAAGATGGAGGTGGTGTTGTCAGTGAGCCATCTTCCTGCCTTCCTAGGCTCCCTAAATTACAACTAGAGTGCCAAGAAGAGGGAGAAGGTGAGTATATTAAAGGATTTCTGCATACATCCTGAATTCACTCATATTCAGGGGCTCTTCTGAGATCTGAAGTCACCAAAGATGGAACAGGCTTGAACCTTCTTAGTTTGACTCCCAGGGGCTCTGGGGGAAATGAGTGGAGAGACTCTTCCAGTAGCAGGAGAAATAAAAATCTCTTCTCTCCTCTGCTATCAGTGTCAGTCCCAAAGAAGCACTGGTCTGGACGGCACAACAACAGCTCAGAGGCAGGAAACCAGGCTATCCTGAAGTCTTGGAAGATTACAAAGCTGGAGCTTAAACAAGGGGGCGGGGCTCCAAGGAGAGGGTCTCTAAGAGGGTTGGCTTCAGAGGCATCGGAGTCTGTAAGCAGGACCACCGACAGCTCTCCCGATTTGGGTATAACTGACAGCACATCGGAATTGCATAGTGGAAAGCCTCAGAGATCCGGTTCCCCAACCCCCTGATCAGCGCTTCAAATTCCAGCTCCTCAGGATTCTGCACCTGGATATGACGCCTCTGGATTCAGTTCAGTGTGCAGCTCCCCCAAATCCAGAATCAGAGGCAAGACGCGGGCTCTGGTACCGCAGGCAACCCCAAGCCCAGCAACGCGGACCGCGTCGGGTAGTCACTGCTCCAAATTCAGCACTGCGGACAGTTCCCTCGCCAGCAAGTCGGGTTGCTCTCGGCCCCAGCCACCCCTTCCGGATCAGAGCGCCCCACCTCCTGCCTCGCTATTCGGGCTCCATACCGTCGTCCCGTACTTCGATCTCACCTCCACATCTCCCTGTCTCCTCTGCTCTCATCTCCCCGCCCCCACACCTCCCACCTCCAATCGCTCAGCCTGTCCGTCTCACCGGCCCCGGAACCGCCGCTTCTGGCTCCCACGGTTCCTGGGCTCTTTATTCCCTGGCCTCCCAGGTCTCTAGCCCGATCTCCTCAATACCCCTCTCTTTCCCATTGCTTAGCTACCGTTTTCTCTGTCTCTTTAGTTCTTTGCTTCCTGCTGCCCGCTTGCTTCAAATCCCAATACAGACTCCAGTCTCTCTATACGACTCCTTTCCTCAGAACCCCAGTTCTCCAGCCCCTTATCTTCTGGCATCCCAAGCTCCAAGAACAGCCACCACTCTCCTCACCTTCCTCAGCGGTCCCGGGCCTCCCTGGTCCCAAAAGCAACGCCAGACAGAGCGGCATCAGGCAGACGAACAGGCGCAGCGGATATGGGCCGGCGCCGGTCTCCATGGTCCGCAGACCGAGCTGTCAGTGCGGCGGCGGCTCAAACCGCGCCAGCCCCATCACCGCTGAGCAGTGCCCCCAGACCCTAGCGCCTTCTGGGGGCGGGATCTCGCTGGTTACCATCATCCACGGGGACCAATCACCAGGCACCGCCGCGGGAGGTCCACCAATCCTCCCCAGCAGAAGGTAGAGGGGTGGAGTTTCATAGGCCTGGGGCGGAACAGCTAAATGGAAGGGGGAAGGAAGGGGTCCCGCCAGTCTCCAAACGTGGGGGTGGGGCAGCGCTGAGCGCTAGCCTGGCTCCTGGGGAGGAAGATGAGCCCGCGGCGATGGCCCAGAGCGCGAAACCTTAGCCTCTCATTCCCGAGAAGTAGACAATATGGGCGTGGCTTAAGGACGGGTGAACCTCGGGGAGGCAGCGACACTTGCAGCCTCTGAGCTAGCCTTGAAGCTCCCTTGTTCCCAGGACTTGCAAGGGATTTTCAAGCCTGATGTCCTGACCCCAAGCCCAGGGGAGTTCCTCAATCTCCCAGCTCTTGGCTTCTTCCTATGTCTGCGGCTCCTGGCGTCTCCTGGCTCGGTCCCGCCCCCTTCTCTCCCCTCCCTCCACACACACACACACACACACACACACACACCGGCTGCAGGAAGGGGCCAAGCCCGACCCTGGGAGCTACTCGAGAAAGGAGAGCAAAGTGGGAGACGGAGTCCCACCCTACCAGCAGACCAAGGTTGGGAAAACATGTGGACGCTTGGATGGGGTTGGTGGTAGATTTTGCATGAACGTTTGGTTCCTCGGGTTCTTGCTCTTGCTGCCAGCACACAGGCAGCACTCTGCCCAACTACCCATTTCCCGGGTCTGCTCAGAGCCTGGAGTGCCCGCCCCCCTTTGACAATCCCTCTCCGCCCATCCCAGGGTACTGGTGAAGAGCTCAGTGGCCAAGATTCCGAGGCGCCTGCGAGGCAGGCGGACCAAGCCTCACAGAGTTCAACCAGCGCTGGAGAAGCTGCAAGGAAACGTGGAACACGACCTCTATCTAGTGAAGGTCATTTATGTGCAAGCTGAGGGTTTAAGGCGTTGGTGGTGGGAAGGGCTGAAGCCCTCCAGGACGAGGGAGGCGGCTATTGAGCGCCACCATCTGGGGTGAACTTGAGCAGACAAAGCTCCACCCACCCTGTAGCTTTTCAGTGCTCTTTTCTTGGGGGACCCAGCCCCTCTGCTTTTGGAAGCTAAAGTACCTGGAGAACCCTTGAAAATCATTGAGTCCTGTGTCTCCATGACCTGCGTGGCTTGACTGTGCGTTTTGTATATGTGTGTTCCCTACCCTCCCAACAAAGACTCCCTGAGTGCCATGCTCTGTGCTGAAAATATCTGGGTGAATCTCTGTCTCTGCCACAGTCCATACCTCCTTGAGCACGGAGAATTATGAAAATTCGTGGCATCGTGGAATTCTGCTCACTTACAAGCCGCTTTCGTGTGTCATTTCTGTGTGTGTGTGTTTGTGTGTGTGTGTGTGTGTGCCTACACACGCGCATCTAGTATGTATATACGAAAGCTTGTTCACTCACAGACATACTTACTGGACAGCCCCAGTAGGAGTGGCTGGGAGGCGTTGGACTCCTTTGTAGGTAGAAAGAAAGGTTATCAGGAGAGGCTGGGGCTCGGAAACCGCACCAGACCCAAGCCGGCTGAGGAAGCAGAGGGAGGTGTGGCGTCCAGCAGGTTCTTGGATGCAGGCGGGGTCTTTGAAATCAGATCTACCTGAAGAAGGGCTCTCACACCCCCACCTCTTTCCATCTTCATTCTTCTCACGGTTGGTTTTCCCCTCCCCCTCTACCCCCAGCGTTGGGAGTTGGTATTTTTAGAAGCTGCTTAGAGACCCAGGACTCCTTTCATTTCAAAATGAGTCCTCACTCCACTACCCATCACCCTTTTCTTCAAAACAAGGCCCCATCCCCTATGCAGTCTTAAGGCACTAGTCATGGCTTCTTACCCGGAGCTTCTGACCTGTATGTGCTAATACAAAATGCAGACTCCTCGTGAGCCTCGAAAGGATCTTCCAGGAGCCAAGCACATGGGGGAAATTATCTGGGGAAAGCCATATAGAATGTCCCAACAAACCTCTGGCTGTCAGGAGTCTGGTTCCCCACCACCACCACCATCTCCACCACACATACATGCAAGCTCCTTACGCCTTGGGGAATTTGCCACATCGAGAGCCCAGCAATGTGGGAAAGAAGAGGAAAAGAAGAATTGAAACAATACTTTTATTTCTTCCTTTGAGCAATTCATTTATAATAAAACCAGAACGGAGAAGCCTCAGTGTACGAGGAGGTATGCAAACCAGCAAAACTTTAAGAGATACTCCAAGGCAGACTCTCTACCAGGTGACGGTGGAATAAACACCTATGTGAAGATATTCAAAAGGGCCTTAGAAGGAAACTAAGCCATGGTTTACTACTAACTTTAAGTCCTGGGGTCCAGTCCACCAAGAGCTAAGTTAGATCCTTTCCTGGAATAGTGAGGTCGGAAGTCAGGTGGGGGTAGTGTTCTGGCGTGGCGCTGAACTGTGAGACAGTGGCCAACTTCAGCCTTTTAAATTTTCTGTCCATGGTACCGAACTAAAGTCTGGACTCTCCATTTTCAACCGGACTTGGGACCTGTCTGCTGCCCTGCTCCAATCCTCAGTCCAGGGCTTGCTGCGTGTTGCTCCAGACTATAACCCAGATCCAACCATGTGAGCCTCCAGAAGACAAGCAGCTTTACTCCATGGAGTAGGAGTGGAGGGACCTGGAACCCATCTGGAGACTCCTATTTTCTCTTCCTCTCCTCCCAAACCCCATGTGAGGTAGTAGAGAAAGAATCCTTCTCTCTTCTTCTACTTCACTGTCTGCAGAATGATGTGGAGAACACCTGCTGGAGTTGAGCAGGTTCATTCAACATCCAAATAGTTGAAGTGATCTTCCAAGAAGCAGATCCAACTTTACAGCATCTCCAAGCTACTGGAGGTTACAAATTAAGGGGCTGAACATTTTATCTCTTCTTTTTGCACAAATCCAGAAAGTACATCCATCCTGGCTGAACAGAAAAGGTCATCTCCTCCATGGAGAAGACTAAGATTTCTTCAGAGAAATCAGGGTCAAGTCCTGTCCTCAACAAAGAAGACAAAGAGGGAGCAAAGAGCACTGGTGAGCACTACTCACTACTGCTCAAAGGGACATTTCTAATTTGTCTCTTTCCTCTTCCATTCTATCACCTTTTCCAAGCTTAAGAAAAGCTTAATAATTCACCCAAGGTGAATTATTTTCTAGGACAATACACTCACGGCAAAAATAAGATGGAGGTTATATACAAATGTTTGAATTTTATTTTTCTAAGATAAAGGAAATATAAAACATTTAATTTATTGACTTTGAAAATTAGCAGCAGAAACCTTTCATTATCAAATACAACCATTTAGACTTTATGATACTCTACTTTCTCCTCTGTGAAATAAGAATGAACACATTTCAGAATTATTGCGAAGTCAGAATATAATTTATTTGTATGGCCCAGCATGTGGCCTTTGGCACATAGTTCTGGTATATTTTATTATTTAATCTCATGGTTAATTAAGGTAAAAAACAGAAAGAAAAAAGGAAAGGATAAAGGAAGGTTAGATGGTGAGATAGGAGGAAAGAGAGAATTAGGGAGACAGTCATAGAGGAAAATAATGAAGGATAAAGAAGGAGACAGTCTGTTGAGATGAATGTGGTTAGGAAGCACAAGATCCTGAAAGAAATGTGCTTGAGGAGACAGGAGCGTCATGAGGGAAGGCTGGCTGGCCAGCTGCCAAGTGGCCTCAGAGGTGACACTTACCTTGGTGAATTAATCATGGTCCAGGATCGTAAACTTGACTTTAACAGCATTAAGAAAGAACCTATGTGTTGGAGGGTTGGAAAGTAGATCATAACTAACTCAGCTCTGATCCTGCTATCTGAGCCAAAGAACCAATGAATTAATACACAATGAGAAATGGAACTGCAAGGGAGTCAGAATTCTCACATTGCCATGTCCAGCAAATTCTTCCCTTGTAGGAAAAAACTTGCACAGGAAGCCAGTTTATGATGTGAAGGTTGCTTTGAGAGTTTAAGGGGAGACAGTTGGATGGTTTAAATATTTGATGGCATCAGGCTCTGATAGCCTTGTGCCTCCAAATTCCCAGTAGGGATAAACCTGCCAGGGGCACCTCAGTGACTGTACTAAGGGCTAGGGCTTGGAATGGGATCTGTCAACATATGTTTCTCTGACTTATTTTAAAATCTTAATTTCATTTCTGATGAGCACATTTTAAGATTGAAACAGCCCTTTTAAATTTAAATGACCAGGATAAACTCATAAAAATTTTATAAGTAAGGGTGCCTGGGTAGCTCAGTGGGTTAAGCCTCTGCCTTCTGCTCAGGTCATGATCCTGGGGTCTTGGGATTGAGGCATGCATCGGGCTCTCTGCTCAGTGGGGAGCCTGCTTCCTCCTCTCTCTCTGCCTCTCTGCCTACTTATGATCTCTCTCTCTCTCTCTCTGTCAAATAAATAAATAAATAAAATCTTTTTAAAAGTTGGGCTCTATAAAAATGAAGTTGTTTTAAAAAATATTTTATAAGTAAAAACTAAAGATATCCATAAAGATATCCAAAAGTAAAGATATACCATCCCCACGTAATCCCATTTCAAATTTTAAACCTGTTAACAGATTGATATGTACCCTTCCTGATCTTTTCTATGAACACACACACACACACACACACACAATTTTACAGAAAATGAATATAGTCGTTAGTGAGGTAAACACTGTTGATTACCCAATATCTTTTCCCTTTCATATTTTTCATTGCTGAGAAGGCCCCAATTTTGTTTGGATGTTCATAGTCCTTTTCTCAGAGAAGATGAGCCTCTTTTCAAGTTCAGGGATGAATAAAGATTGTTTTTGGCTAATCGTTGTCATCCCATTCCATTTGTCAGAGTTAGC